CACACACACACACACACACGAAGTGCGCGCCGAGGCGGGGACGTTTGGCACGCTTTTACGCGCCGGATCCGCCACATCTTGAGCGCATTGCGCAGCAGCAGCCAGAGCTCGCCCGCTGAAAGAAGTTCGCGCGTGAACAAAGGATCGGCTCAGCAACACGTGTCATTAAAAAAAAAAAATCCTAACACGCATCAAGCTGCATTTAGGGGTAAGTGGATCCTCGCGCCTCGCGTTTCCTCCGCGCTTTCGGGGGCAGGGTCTTGATTTTGGACTGGAGGGGGGACCACAAAAGAAAAGTTGCGCAAAATAACCCTGTGCGGTCATTTCTTGCAGCGTCAGGAACACACCACGTCACTCTGTTCGAGAAACTCCCCCCTTTTCCTCCCCCTACTTTCAGCTGGATCACCATCCACCCAACGGTTTGGAGACGAAACGAGGCAGAAAACGGCTCCAATCATGATGACCGGATTTCGACTCAGCCTGTCGCCCCTCAAAGAGCCCCTCGGCTTCGTTAAGCTGGTTGAATGGGTGAGTCGGATGCGCGTTTGTTACATCTGTTTTTTGTTCTTATGGAACAGGGAGGTCCACAGACCCTCCTTGCTGCTCAGATGTTCATTTTGGAAATGCCTAAATGTGCGCAGAGATCAACAGTTTAAATGCAAAACAAAAAAGAAGAAAAATAGGCAAACTGAAGCCTTATTTGCACCTGAAGGTGGAATCCAGTTCTTGTCTAGTTAAGTTGCATTGGCCCCTTTGCATAAAAGTGCAGGCCTTACAAGAACTCAGTTAGAGATTAATGCTCATTTAAGCAATAATTTACCCCTGAAAAGCAGCTCTGGAGGTACAGGAAACACGTCGACCTTTCTTCAGAGGAGCAGAAGGTCCAGTAATCAGACGTGCATGAAGTGAATCCAGGTATTTTTTCTGTTTTCTCATGATATCCACATTTACACACACACACATACACACACCGAGGACCACAAAGCAGCAGTCATCTGACTCAGGATAAGGCAGTGTGTGTATGTGTGTTTGGTTTACATAAGCTTCATTTAACACAATGGATTTGCTTATTCATGCTCAGTGTGGAGCAAAAATGATGAATTGGGTCAGTAAACACCCACAAAATGTTTTCTTTTTTATTATTATTTATTATTTTCCCTGGGAGGCTGAATCAGTGCAACACCTGGTCAGGTTTTGGAAAAAAAAAAAGTAAACATGCATAATGTCTTCCTGTTCCCAGGAAGCAAACTTTTTAACCTTTTTGCTAAGTGTCAGTCCAAGAGAAGAAACACAACGGCAAGCAAATTAAAAGAAGCGAGCAGGAACGAGGGTTTGTAAAGTGTTTCTCATAAATGAAGGTTTTGAGTGGCTCTAAAGTGTGTGTGAGTGATGTGGTCATCATCCGTGAGCCGTAAACAGGAAGCAGTATTTCTACCAGGAAATGCTAGAGCTCTCCACTGTTCGTTCCATTTGTTTGTGAAAAACAACTTTCTATTAATTTTCCTAATGTGAGAAATGGTCATGTTTCAAAAACGTTCAAAACAAAACAGTAAAAAAAAAAAAAGTCATACTTTTGTTTGTATTTTATTACATTTATTAGATCAGATGCCAAGTTTTCTTGACTTTTTCTCATTGGGGATGTTGACAACAGAACTCTTTTTCCTGGTAGTTTTCAATTGTGACCAAGTTTCCTAAAAAGCAAAGTGGCAAGAATAGAACAGCAAAAAAAAAAAAAAAAAGACAGGAAGTGACGGAAAGGGGCGACTGGGAAAACATCTGGAGTGAAGCATAGCAAGGTGAGAGCATGTAAGCACTTTGAGTGTGTGTGTGTGTGTGTGTGTGTGTGTGTGTGTGTGTGCTGATGAGACAAAAATGAAGAGTTTTTCTTTTCTGTTTTCTTTTTTTTTTTTTAAAAGAGCTTTACCGTTTCCACATTCTTTTGGTCTTTTTAATGAAAGACACTTCCTGCCTGACGCAGCGAACGCCTTCCAACACCTTTCTGTGACTTTCAGTTGAACAACAGCCGAAACTTCAGTGAAAAGTGGCCAACATTAGCTTTCCTCCCTTCATTCAGTGAGTCCTGTGATGTGAAAGAAAAGAACATCTGCTTTGCAAAAAGAAAAACAAAAATCTTGATATTTTGATAATTCATGTCGAGCCTTCTGACTTTACTGGATGCTTAACATGAACCCTGGGAGACAGAAACACGTAGGATGTTGGTTCCTTAAGTCTTTCTTATCTCAGTGTAGGTCCAACTGGACAAGGTATAGCATGGCCTGCATAGAGGTGAACTTCACCTGTGAACTTTGGGGGACTCTTTACGAAATGTGGGCCTGCCTTAGCGCACTCACTCACTCGAACCTAAATGTTGTCGTCTATTAAACGACGTCTCCTGATGAGCAGAGTCAAATGCTTTGCTGAGACGTGCACAGCGCCAGTCGCTGTTCAAATCACTAAATGTAACGTGTTGTCGGCCCAGTTGAGCGTTTGTCAGTTCAGTCTTTTTCTCCCCCATCCCCAAACCACATCCTGCTGGTTTTAATGGAGGAATATCATGGCTTTTCCAGGCAGCCCTAAAACAAATTCTGGGTTTCGCTCCAGGCATTCCAGTTTTCCTATATGTCTCCCCTGAGATGAGCTGGAAGGGACTCTAATCAGATGCCTGAACTGATTTCGATGCAGAGGACACTGAGTCTGCCCAAACTGCTCGCCGTGTCCCGAAATGACTCCATTTACGACCTCTGTCTTTGAATTTGCTGTCCGCGGCTTATGAGCACAGGTTGGAAAGTAGGTCGGCCGATGAACGGACATCTTCACTCGTCCTTTGTCTTTTGGTGCAGTTCCACCTTCGTCTCCGTCAAACAACAGTTGACTGTTCCTGTCACAGCAGATACTGTCCCGTTACAACGGACAGCGCCAGGGTCCGGCGCCAGCACCAAACACCTCCGCAGCCTTTGAGCTTGAAGACAAAGGCTGCGGATACTTACATGAGTGTGATTTCTCAAGGTTATGTTTTGAATAAGTTTGTAAAATCTCAAACTTCTTTTTCCCACGTTGTCATTGTGGCGCATTCGTGTGTCGGATTTTGAAGGCAGAGATTAATCTAATGCAATCAGGAGTTAAAGGCTGTGGGTACTTTCAGAGCCACTGGAGCTGCAAAAACTCTTCGGAGAAAAAAATAAATAAAAAATTGTATTTTATTAATTTTCTTTTATATTACTGCAAAAATATTTTAACATGATTTTCTTCAGGGCCACAAATATTTCCTCTTTCAGCAATTAAAAAAAATACATAAGTTAAAATAAAAACAAAGTAAACATATTTCAACTTGTACTTTTTAAAAATGATCAGAATGTAAAGATAATAAATAGCACCTGGTTTTATTTGTATGGTAACATACGGAGAAAGTTTTCCCCCTACATCCTCGTCATTGCTGGTGGTGGCGCGGCGTAACATCGGCGGGGCTTTGGACGAGCTCGAGTTATCGTCTGTGCGCTCGGGGAAGGCCTGGGCAGAGTGGCAGTCGCCCTGAAGACAAAAAGAATTTAGCCTCCGCCGGGTTTGAGAGGGGAGAATTAGTGTCACATGGTCGGCAAACTGAATCAGATGCTTTTTCTACGCAAAGGAATTTGACGGCTGAATGGGAGCTTAAGTGAAAACACATTGGCAGAAAATGTTTCAAATATTTGGATTTTCATCTTTTTTTTTCCAAAACAAAAGCTCTGCTGAAGCGCCCAGTGCTATTGGCACTCTTTTTATTCTTTTTTTTAAATGCATAAATAAAATTCAAAAGATTGATAAGTGGCTCACAAAGATTGACACGATTGATAAGATCTTTTCAATCTTATCAAAAGATTGATTAGATGGAGGATCCGTGATGCTGTGGGCCTGTTTCTCTTCCAAAAGTTCTGAGAAACTTGCCAGAGTGAATTACATCATGAACATAATGGGACATTTTAAATAATAAAAAAAAGCCAAGAAAAATATCTACATATAAAATGACATTTACAGAAAAAAAGAGGACCTAACCAAAACAACAGTTGGAGTAATCAACATTTTTCTGAGTGAAATTGTACGACTAGAAAAACAGAAAATCGGATTTTATTTCATGCATCTTCGGCAGGGATGTGTATGTGGTTTTACTATTGCAATATGTTAATTTATTCCAGCAGTGTCAACATATTTTATTTTTGGCTTAATCATTATTTAACTATTTTCTGATGCTAGCGTGAGCAGCGTCCCTAATGCGTGTGTCTGTTTTCCGTCCTCGCAGCTCACGGCCATATTCGCTTTCGGAAGCTGCGGTGGATTCTCGGGTACGAACGTCGTATCTCTCTTCTGTGGCGGTGGTGTGAATGAAACCCTCAATGCCAGCTTTCAGTACCCGTTTAGGTATAAGTCTTCGATACATTGATGCTTCTGTTTATGAATTCTGCCATAGAAGCATTGATTAGAGATTTGTGGCCAAATTCCAATCTCTGTATTATTTTTTTTTTTTGTAACGCCTGTTAATATTAATTTGATTCTGATTTTTCTTAATATCTGTAAATAGCATAATTCACCTTCTGGTCATCAGTGCTCATTCATTACTTATAGTAGAAGCAGAGGTGATGTCACATTGTGTGAGGTTTTGCTATTTAAGAACAGTCCCCTGAACTGTCCTCTGTGTCATGGACAGGCTGAGCCAGGTCCCGCTCATCGATGGAAACGCCACTATATGTAATCACTCTGTCACTACCACGCACCTGACGGGAGACTCGTCGTCCGCCGCGGAGTTCTTCGTCGGCATTGGAGTTGTGTGCTTCTTGTACAGCATGGCGGCTCTGCTGGTTTACTTAGGCTACATGCACGTCTACAAAGACTCTGACTTCGGGCCTATTTTTGTGAGTAAATAAGCTGCACAAAATTACAATGGTTGACCACATCTGGTATTGTATTGTGAAATTCTTGTGTCTCTAGGGTTGACTTTTTTGCTTTATTTTTTTATTTTTTATTGCTAGGACTTCATCATGACGGCAGTCCTGGCCTTCCTGTGGTTGGTCTGCTCATCTGCCTGGGCGAAGGGTCTGCAGAACGTCAAGGACGCCACGGACACTGACGGAGTCAGTGGCACGCTGGCTATCTGTAAGGGAGGGAACGTCACGTGTGAAGTCACGGACTTCGCCAACATGCGGACGCTCAACATCTCCGTGGTAAGAGGAAATGCATGCAGGCAGCTAGTTTGTACTACTTTCAGTCATCAATAAGTGAAGCCATCAATTAGTTGTAGAGCAAATGATTAGTAAAGTCAGGTAATTTCAGTCTCTTTCCTAGCTTAATATTATTAATATCTATGAATTTTCTTGTTCTGCTTGTGTATTTGCAGGTGTTCGGCTATCTCAACATGTTCATTTGGGCCGGCAACGCCTGGTTTGTTTACAAGGAGACTCGCTGGCACTCCCAGAAATTCTCCTCCCAACCTGGACCTGGAAGACAGCAGGTTCCTGCGCCAATTTAACCCCAGTGCCCACTGGTTGTTATGCATAAGAAGGAAAGGAAAGTCAAATATATATGAAGTATTGAGCTTTTTTTACATATCTAGAAAATGTTCTTGATAGAGGTGAGACTGTTGGAGCCTGTTATAGGTTGGCCTTTTGCTTGTGCGAACGTTGCACGCAGCCGTGCTGGCATTTTGCAACCTAAATGACTTGACGTCGGTTTACTTCTTGCACAATGACGGTCCTGAAATAATACAATCCCCATTCTGCATATGTTTCTTTGGAAAGTCTTGCAACTTAGAACAGAAGGTCTTTCTTGTATTTAACTTGTGTCAAACATTTTTACCTTTTAAGTGGGCTTCACACCATCATGCAAGCTAAATCTGCAGTAGGGGAATTAAAGCGACACCCAAATGATTTCCTTTGAATAAATGTATTCAAATCAAAGGTTGAATCACAAAATATCTGTAAATAAAACTGTTTTACCTTAGGGCTTTTTTCCCCACATTTTCTCTAATAAATGTGATGCCCTATTGTTTAGCTATACATAAATGAATAGAAAACACTAAATTGCATTTAGTCATAAAATCTGTGTGAAATCTTTACAATTCTGTTGCTGTTTTTACTTGAAGCATGTTCACATTTAGCTCAAAACATGGCTTTTCTTTGATGTTCTTTGAAATTCTTTGCCGTTTACCACCACCTTGTGGCAGGCGGTGGTAAGTGCAACTCCTGAAACTTTCACCCAATTCCCACATTCAGCCATATTTATGGTTTGCTTTCAAGCTTCAAAAATGACTGCGTCAAGTTGATCGAAACTCTAATATCAGGAATCTAGGTACTTCTATGGTACTTAATGTGATTGTGAGTTTTTTAAGTACAAGAGAGGCTGATGGAGATGCTCTGTTGAGTTGGAACCAAGGTACCTTTTAAAGGACTAAGAAATCCTTCAGAACGTAGTAATAAGATCTTTTTCATGACATTCCAATTTTCATCTTTCATATTTTGCAAAACACATGACATTCTGCCAAAGTACTATTTGTTAAAGTTCATTTTATTATTATCTGTTGTCCATTTGCTTAATTCTTGATGTGATACCAAACATGTTTTTGTACTTTGTCTTGAGTAAAATATGTTTTTGTCTCCCCTATGTAACCGAATGAATAGTTGAAAAGATAATTTCATTGTATTTGTCAATAAAAGTGAATGGATTTTTTTTAATTGAATTTCCTTTGTATCTGATGGCGTTGGCTTTTATACATGCACTCTTTCACCTTCCGTTTTGTTGCACAAGTTTTAAGAACGTTCTTAACTTTTTGTGACGACGCTAGGTTTTACGTCGGCATCTTTGTGACATAAAAACTTGTCCTCAGAGTGAACAGTAACACAATCAATTCAGTGACATGACACAAAATGAAATCTTTTGCAGCCTCTGACTGAAAAGATGCCAGCTCCCCTGATCCTGCAAAGCATCGCTGCACGATGCTGCCACTTCCATAATACGCCAATGGAGTGTTCAGTGGTGTTCATTTTCCGCCTATACTCGAAAGCTAACTTATGGTGTCGCCTTCTTCAGCTTGTTTCCTCTACGTGACTTATTGCAAGCTGCAAACGACTGTTACAGTGACTTTGTGCTGTCCAGTGCAAACCAGAATGTGTTGTTTGGAGCCTTGGGTTTGATACGCCTACAGCCAAAGAGGCTGTGTGTTGTGCACAATGGCTGCTTTAAGTGAAAACCTAGACGGTGTGAAGAATTTTATGGTTAGTTGTACTTTCTAGTACATTATTTAATAATGATTCATGACCGATCTCTTGACTGTGATAGTTTTCATGTTTACAAGTATTTTTGACGAGCTATTTTTGAGATGAAAAGGCCTTGAAGGTGTTTGCAGGAGCTTTGTGTGTGAAATGTCGTTTTCTCATAAAAGCTTAGTGAGAGTCGATGCGAGTTATAGCAACACATCATTTCCAGTATTGTGTCCGCCACTGAGCAGTGGATGAAGATGGATTGATTAATTATACAGCCACATCTTTCATCTGCTCTCATTGAAGTTATGCATTAGTTCGCATTCACATGCAATATCCATGAAGTAAATTAAAATTTGTGTTTGTAGTGTAACAAAAGGCAAAAAAAAAAAAACTTATTAGGGATATGAATACTCTTGTAAGGAACTGTATGACCACTCCAGTTGTTTTTAATATATATAATTTTTTGTTATTGTGGTCATTGATAGAAATAGATGGCTCTGTCTGAAGCCCTCGTTGTGCTTCACCACAGCTCGATGTTGCAGAAAATGTGTTTTTAAGTGTAGAAGATAACGCAGCCATCTATAGACATTGCGTCTAATGTGTGGAACTGGCCTTCATAAACTAATTATTGTCATTTCCTGACTTTCTCGTAATCGTCAGCCTGTCTGCATCGAAATTTATGCTGGTAGAAAACAGGGCTTGTATTAAGATGTTCAATCTAAAGTAAAAGTATCTTTTATCATCAGTATTACTTTTGCAACTATTTTACTCAGACTAAATCAGCCTTTGCACTTGAAGTTTCTACTCATTGCCACAAGAGGGCAGTGTAGGGTCATCAGCTCGTCTTGCTGAACCGTCTGAAGCCATATTACTCTGCATGTATATATATATATATATATATATATATATATATATATATATATATATTTGTTTTAGTCAACGGATGTAATGATTTAGCTCCTACTGTTGTGATGTAATAAACTTAAATAATTACTTTTGTTAAACAGGGTTTGGCTTTATTAGTTTTCCTCTTCTTGCTTCTCCAATAGCCAGCAGTGTTTCATTCATAATTATACAAATATATTTTTTTTCAGCGTTTGTGTTATTGCTTCCATTGTTCACTTCACCAGTCAGACCGCGCTTTGATGTTACTTCTAACCTTCAGTTTTTAATCACATGTAAGATGTAAGTTCTCGTTCTGCTGTTTAAGAATTGTTCACTATTTTTTTTTTTTTAGCAATTTTATTACTCCTACACACAAGCAATCATGAACAGTGCTACCCCAAATCACAAGGCTTATGCCATCATACTTTACATTAAATATTGCTTTACTTATACCTTTCTCTATAAGCTATCATTGCATTGTGTTAGAAAGTCAAGTTGGCCTTATAGTGGCGTTTCCTTTGTACATGAATGGCTTACATTTGTTCTAAATCAAATTAAATCTTGTTCGGCCTTTATTACATATTTTTCTTAATTGTTGAAAACGTCACAATTATGTAATAATGCCAAGTATTGTGGATTTAAAGATTCAACTATTATAAACATTTCAAATCTTTTTAGAACTCATGTATAGCCTAAGCATTTTAACAGTAAAGCAAACTAATATCTTAAAGAAAAGAAGAAAAAAAAACAGAGAGAGGGAGACAGACTCCCACTGATATTTGCAGCAGAGATAATCTTCAGTTTTTCCTATAATTTGCTGACAAATTCATGTGTCATTGATAACATAGCCCTGAAGTCATGCAGTTCACACCTGCAATTTCTTCTGCAGCTGGTCTGAAAGACCAAACCCTTTTTTCACTCCAGGGCATTAAACTTTAAATGATAAAATCAGAACTAGCTGATCGGTAAGAGAAAATGCACAGATGAAACTTCTTCAGGAAAGGGACCTTGGATTGGTTCTTGCATGCACTTAAGGTTTTATTTTTTTTTTTTGACAGCTCAAATAATTTTGACAATTTTGTCAAAATTGCAGAGTTAAATATTTTAGTTCAATTTATTTGTGTCAAAAAGGTGGTTTATGCAATATTTATTAAATCAAGTCCTTTTCCATACCTTCATTTTTTTTTTACTTTAGCTCTTTTTCCCATGTAGTTCCATTGAAAACAGTGTTGAACTTTTCAACTCCCCAGCAGCTCCCCCATTTGTCGCTCGACCGCTTGATCCGCCGGAAATGACCGACGTGAGCCGAAACTTTCCGACAGCGACGTCACCATATCTCGTTCTTTCGTTTTTCGCCTGCTGCGTGCGAAGAGAGAGAGAGAGAGAGAGAGAGAGAGAGAGAGAAAAACGGCTCTCAGCAAAGCAACAAGAAGGAAGAGCAATGGCGACACTGGATCGCCAAATACCAAGTCCGGATACCTTTTTGTGCGAACCTTGGTCTTCCTTCGTCAGTGCGACTAAATTACGTTTTGTTGAGAGTAAGTTGGCGCCTCGGCGGCGGTGTTGTTTAGCTGACAAACTGTCGGGGAGTGCGTGCTCCAAACTGTCTGTGATTGAGTTGAGTGAGAGCTCCTCCACCATTCAGGGTCTGTCAGAGCTCAGCAAAGTAACTGTCAGAAATATTACTACAAAATGCAGTATTAATAGCTCGCTTTGACAGCAGCGCACATGCGCGTTCGCCGAGCTAAGCGTTTCGGTGCCGAGTTTGTGCCTCTGACGCGCTCAAGTCATGACGTGCTGAAACTGTCCAGCTGTAAGTTTGTTAGCTTTGACAGATCGACTTGGTGCGAGGAAGCTCAGGCTCGCGCTAGCAGGCTAATGCTAACCCCTGATAGCCAAGCCTCGGGAGCTGCAGGGCTCCATGCATGGCCCCCCGAAAGTTTGTCGCGAACGCTGCCGACGTGTTTGTAAGCGGACGTTTTGTTCACGCAGACGCAGCCTCGACTTCGGAGAGGGACGACGCCGACTCTTGCCGCCCCGCCGAAGCCGCGAAACTCGGCAGAAACGGTAGGGAACTCGCGCGAGCAGCAGCAGCAGCAGCGCCGTCACGTACCACACGGTGATGGTTTGTTATTGTTTTCACAGCACATGCATGGCAGCGTTTACGGCTCCATTTTTAACCACTTCTGTGAGAAAATACTGCGCATATATATGTCGGTGTTCACTGCAGTTTCAGTGTTTGCACACCTTTAGTTTTGCGTGATCCTCATTGGTGATTGTTATGGTATATATTTTATTTAATTGACACAAAACTGGGCTTATTGAGTGGTCGTTTTAACGGAGTTTGGTTTCCCTAGAGACAAGATTTGTAATTCTTCATTTAATTGTGATATATCATGTTATTTTTTATTCGGATCTTATTTTTTCTTGTATGTTTTTGCCAAAGCATGACTTTTATTCCCTGGTTGATTTTTTAAAAATTAATTAAGATCAGCCTATAACAATTTTAACAGAATAGTACCAATAAACATAAAAGAAAATAAATGTTTGAGTGCAATAGTGGTTGATGCTGATCATTTTAGGAGGAGGGAGAAATTTCAGCCATATTGTTACTCCTATGATGCTTTGAATTTTATTCCTACTGATTCCTAAATAACCTAAAGGTATTATTCAATATTGGAGATGAGAAACATATTTAAATACCAATGTGAGTGAAACTGCAACCAGGCAGGAAGGCCCGCTTGGAACATATTAAGCTGTAATACTTCTGTCTGTCCTTCAATACTACTTTTTAATGACACATTTGGCCCATTAGGTTATCTTTACTGTCTGTTATGGCCACAACAAATATAGATCTTGGTGAGGATATTGTGATGATGGAAATCAGAGTAATGGCAAAAATGTGGTTCAGTCGACATTATCCCAACAATATTGCCTTGCCATGTTTTCTTAATGTCATGCAGCCCCACTGAGTATGTATCCAAAATAAAAAGCATTAAAAATGGTTTTAAGAAACAGCTTGAAATGTTACCAATGTTACCAATTAAGACAAATTAGTTATTATTATCATTCCTGTGGTTTGTATGAATCAGTTTGATATGTAATGATCCTTTCATGCAGTTAAAAGATGAGATAAATTACTTGTAAATTAGCAATGGAACTATATTAAAATAGTCCGTAGTTAATTAATTGAAACGAATCCCATTTTAATCAAACTGTATAAACAAAATAAGCAGCCTTTCCGATTCAAACACTGATAAATAATTGAATAAATGGACATGAGCTCAACATTTTGTTTTTGACAGAACACAAACATAACAGCCCTGATTAATGCCATTTTATTAAGCATGGTCTCTATTTAACTCTGTTTAGTTTTGCCATATAGACAGTGAAACATTTTACCTAACACAATATTTGGCTGACTTAATTTAAATTTATTCATCCTAAAGTAAATCAAACGTGGCTATGTTAGACTAGACAGGTAACGGGAATAACAAGCAAAACGAAACAAATTATATTCATTTTAGGAGGAATCATAATTATGCAAATAATGTTTACATTATTTTGCCAATGCGTATTCTCAGAAATTGAACCAGCAAGACCTAACAGACCAAAAAAGAACATGACTCTTTTTTTATATGTATACATAATTTACCAGTCAAGAGATTGAGATCGTTTTGGAGTTTGCAAAAATGTTCAAAAAAACTTAATTTGGGGAAAAGTGGCAGATAGCCTGACTAACTCAGCAGAAAGGTCTACTGTTCTGTGCAAAAAGCACCTAAAGATTACTACAAATTTTAGCTTGTTTGTCCCATAACTTTAAAGCAAAGATAACATAATGCTATCGTAATTACAAATAGTTTAACTTGGCACATGTAGGAATGGTTCCTTTCTTTCCTGATTTGAATTAAAGCAGTTGGAGGCAATTGCAGGCCCATCACATGCATCCTCAGTATTGTATTTAGTGTGATGGCTCAAGCCACTCGTTTTAAATGTTAGATGAATGTAGGCTGTTTGCATGGACTGTACGGCTCGGGGGAGGAGACAAGGGGGTACCGTCTCACTCCAACCTCCTGGGGACAGACCAGGAGGAGATCCTCCACACCTCACTACACATAAATACCCTGCAGGAACATCATAGGCTTGAGTCGTCTCCCTAAAAGTTCGAGTGTGCCACAGTACACACACACCCCTGGTAGGAGGACGGTGACGCATGCTTGGAGCCGGGGAAACTCTTCTCACTCTTGCTGGTCAGATACCAGCCTCCCCTCTCCTCCTACGCACGCTCGCATGCCTCGTCTCTCTCTTCCCTTCTGTCGGAGCAAGACTGGAGCGCTGCCTCCAGAATCGCTGATCTGCTGGCAACATGAAACCACGGCCTGCTGGGACCGATATGCAGACACAAACAATCAGGGTGGGGGGAAAAAAAAATGTTTTATGTATAAATCAGTATCCAGCAGAACTGCGACCGATTCGTGATCAAGACGTGGCTTTGACTTTTGGCGCCTTTGCCCTGGCAGAATTTAGAGAGATGGCACGGGGGCCAGTTTGGCTGTAATTGATGTGCAGCGCGGGTGATTATCACTATCTGCCTCTTTTTTGTTTTCAGGCATACACACGGCGGAGATGATGACAACCTAGAGAAACTTGGCCTGATTAGACATATACCCACTGGCATGATCTCATTACAACTAGACAGCGCTCTAATGTGGCTATTTATGGGTTAACGTACCTCTTTAGTTCATGTCATTGAGACCATTACGCTATTATTGCAGCGCTGCAGATGGCACCTCGGCTTACAACACAGGAAAATGGCCCACGTTTTTGTAGGTCGCGGCTCTGCGCCATTTCCAGCACGAGTGATACTGTGTTGGGTCGACGCAGATGAGAGTGTTTGGAAAGTGGCAGTCTGAGAATTAGTCATGACGTGAATGCTACATGTTCAGTGCCGAAATTAGTCATGGCATCCTTGTCGGCCTTAAAGTCCAAAAATAGAGCGACGACATTTGAGGAATTTTGTTAAAATTTCTTATAATGTCAAATATTTCAGATATGACTTTGGATAATTTACATTTTCTTGAAGGGGGAAAAAAAACCTCGAAATTCATACATTCAGACATATTCATTTACAATCGGTTTCAATTGTAGTCTTAAGTTTTGTTTTAAAAACAATTATTGCTAGTAACTAATCTTATCAAACTTGGAAATACTCTTGCACTCTGGACTTTGTGTGTAAACAAATATGCATTGATTTTTACAACACATTTGAATGGTTTGATGGCAAACATTTAGTACATGTGCATTGTTTCCATGAAAAAGGAAGGATTAAGAAAAGCTTTTGTAGATACTAATTAAATTGACAGATTATAAAACGTGTTTAGTGAAACTCAAAATAGTTTGTCCAAAAAAGCCCAACTTTTTTTTAGCTACTATATATTAACAGTTTGGGAGTGGGGGGAAAGACTCCCTAAGAAACATCCTGTCCTTGCAAATTAAAGGTTTGTTTCTAATCATTTTTTTTAGGTATCTTTTTCTTGTGATTCTCTTAATGCGATTCAAATCAGCACTTCATGAATATGGAAAACGTATGCTGATCATTAAAGTGCAACATACTGGGAGGAGGATGTGCAAATGTATTGGCTTACCACACCCAGTGTGATTTGTTAAACCAGGTTGCAGGGCCTGTTCCTGCGTCTAAATTCAGCGTGTTTGAAAGGCAGCTGCTGTTTGACACAAAGATGTCTGTGGTCACTGTGGCAGGCAAGAGGCACAGAAAACAGTACTTGTAAAATATTTGTCACGTTTAAATAATTCAGTATAAAAATAATAAAATGTAGAATGAAAATATCCTCCTGATTCAAGGGCGCAACACTCCTCTACCCCCCTTCATGTCTGTCCAATTGGAGCGCTGATCATCACCCATATGGCTTATTTTATAAGTTATTTTCTGCTTTCGAAAAGCAGAAAATAACTTATTTTGTCCCAAAACACAATGGGAAAGCAAACCACACGGGATGGGGTTAAAAACAAAACAAAATCTGCTTTTGGTCTGGACCAAGACTTTCCTGATGTGAATTCACCCATTCCTCTGTTCTTTGAAAAGGTAGCATAAACGTGGCTTCTTGTGATTGTGAGCGTTGCTGTGGAGCATTAGCCAACTGCTACTTCTCTTGTTTACTCTGTCGTACCAATAATTATCCGGTTTGCCTGTTCAAAATACAGCTCTAGTCAGAACTGTAACCTCAGCCTGAGCATTACCCTAAAGTCTTCAAATAACTATGATATAAAGACTCCCGCAGCTTCACCATTTTTATGTTCATATGCTCAATGAAACGTTCTTCCATGTTCCTTTTACTCAAACCTGCTTTTTTAGCTGTGATAACTGTTATGTTTCTTTTTTTTTCTCTCTCTGAGCGCTAACTTGCAACTGAAAAGTGAACAAAATCCATGTCCACCTGGTGAATTAGGTTTGTGTCACTAAACATGCTTATTCACCAGTGTCTAACTGTTGTAGCAGTTTCTTTTCTTGGCCTTTCTTTTCATTTGGCAGAACTGAGAAAAACACATAATTCAGGGGACAGGAAAAAGCACATCGTTTGCATTTGATTTGGCAGATGCAAAGGAAATTGGTCTCTTTTTTTCCCCCCTCTCCCTGCCCAGGTTCTTTTATACCAGATCTTTGGACCTAGCCATTTGCAACAAATCTTATGAGAGTTTCTCTTTTTGTTTTTTGTTGTTGTTTTTTCCTCTCGGCCTCTGTGCTATCCTTTTGAATATTACTTACTTTGCTCCGAAAAGGATCACAGAAAAGACCCAAATCGAAACGACCACTTTTTCTGTTTTTACCCACTCATAGCAAAGATATAATTAATTCTTGACACCCAGGTTGTTGCTGCTTTCTTCACCGAGGGGTTTTTCAGTCACTGTGCGCACTCGACTCCCATGTTTCTGTCAGTACCAGCTCTAACCAGACCAACTCTGAGCATTTTGTGCGTTAGACGCGGCTCATTGCTGAATTCAGAGTTTGAACTGTAGCTAAATTAGAATTGAGTTGAAATTTGTGGTGATATAGTGAGGTTAAATCGGGATATGAATTGTGGGGTGGCTCTGTGCAGTTAGTTGTGCAAAGGGCACATTACTGTGAGTGTAAACACAAACTAGGAAGCCACACTGCAAGTAACAAAGTAAACTCGGACAGAGATGCAAAAGAAAACTTTATTCTATAGTGAGACTGTTGATTGCATTGATGCTGCACAGAAAAAATAAACAATAGTTGATGCGACTCTGAATCTGTATATTCTTGTCAGTGACGAGGTTTTGGTCGTTTCAACTATTTTAGCTGCAAAAAGAAGCTTCTTCCTTTCAGGCTTCCATGTAGCAGTTAAAAAAAAAGCTCAAATATTACACATTTAATTCAATTCTATACATATATTTTGAAGTTTGCATTACATGGGCTAAACCAGTGTAACTTCATGCGACCTCTTGGCAGTAGAGCTTGCTTATTAAAATCACTCAACCACTTTTTCCTGGAGCCGAATATAGAAAATGACTTAAATCCACCGTGTGTCCAAGCTGACTCGAAGTGAATTGACGCATCGTCAGAACAAAACGTCCCTCGGCGGATGGCTCCATTAGCAACCAAAACTAAAAAGGTTCAAAATGGCTAAGGGGTGAAATTTCTCTTCAGAATATGATCATTTGATGTTGGCTATTTTTTGATATGCCTTTGGGAGAAAATGTCTATAGCTGATGCATTTTTCATGGGTTCAGAACCATTTCATTTTTATACGTTATCCGTACCTTCTTGTTACTTTCCATTAACAGTCAGCTGGCAGAAAGAAGACTCCCTTAATTTTTCACTCCATGATTTAAAAACACAGCGCATATTTATAAAAAAAAATAAAAAAAATGTTTTTTTGTACGCAATGAATAATTATGGCAGTTCTAAAAGTAAAATTAGATCCAACCCGATACTATCAAGGTATACCTAAAAGAATGGTCAATGACTGTATACAGCTAAAAAAAAAATCAAAGTTAGGTGAACCATGCTGACAAAGCACGTCCGTGACATCATAGTTCTCAAAATTACTTACTCTCACCAGCCCTTAAAGTTGCATTAAGATTGCTGCGACGTTAAAATGCGTCCAGCTGACCGGGCCCAGTCGGTATGTGACCGTCCTGATGGTGTGAACGTAATGCAGTCGCTTCTGACCTGATAAACACGCATTAGCGCTTTCATTCACACGCTCTTGAAGATTGGCATCACATGCACATTCCGTACGTACAAGTCAGTAGCGTGGTACAGTCCAGCCGTAAGACTCTTTGCCAACAGACACTTAGCATGACTCTGTCTTAGACCCGCAAGTTGACAGCAAACTCGCCAGTAATGCAGGGTCATCACAACACGAACAGTCAGCCACAGACACCCACACACACGCCCCCCTACACACACACATCTCGGACGCAATTTTATTTTACCCCCCTCTTCCTTCTCCTCCTCCTTGCATGCTTACTCAAACACGCACACCTCCTCCCTGTGAGTGTGGCTCAAAGCCTGTGCTAATAAGTACTGTGATTTCTGTCAGCAGAGCTTGTTTAGGTTCTGGAAGATTAGCTTCTGGAAGCTTAGCCAGAAGAGAAAATAGCTGCTTTTAAATGGACATATTTGCGGGGTGTTTTTTTTTTTTTCCCTTCTGTATTTGTTATAAGCTTGTGTTTTTCTTGAGTGGGTGGGAGTGTCTCTTGTAGCTTGAGGGATAATGATGCTGGGCTCCATCCAGAACAGTGTTCACTTCTAGCCTTCCTTTCAGAGGACAATTTGTCACTCGGCTGCTTCTTCTTGAGGTAAGAAGACTGTAATCAATCACTTATCTCTTGTTGGCTCTTCTAGACAGCCAGGAAAAGTAAAGGATACAAGTTATCAAAACATCATGACGGCCTGGCTGTGCAGTCTTTGGAAAAGCGAGCAGACATGGTCAATGCTAGCTAGTAGCAAGAAGCGCTAAGTCAGCTGTACCATCTACAGCAAAGTAAAACAAAGAGTATGCAAAGTTATAGGCACCCTAACCCTTTTAGGAAAGAGACAAAAACACAAGCATTGAGGCATGGGTTGTACTTTCTATGAGAAATCAGGACAAAAAGAGAAACTCACCTAATGCTTCAATTAGCAAGTAGTCAATTGAAGAGTGAGTTAAGAGTACTTTCTACGAGGAGGAAAAAAGTCCCTAGAGAAAATGTACATAAAGGGAATAATTGAAAGACATAGTTAAAGGCAGAAGCCGTGTCCTAGGAGTATGAATAAGGAATTAAAAGCAGTAACGGTTCTGTCAATGTCTTCATTCAGAAAAGAAATGAAGGTTAACAAGGGATCTTTGTGTCAGGCATAGTTTCTCTGGACAGCAAAAGAGAAAGTGTGCAAAGTTAATAGCAGTATTAGATCCATGCAGAAAAAGAGAAACGTTTTAAAAAGAAAATGAGTCTGAATTACTTTTTTTTGTAAAAGAAAAGCTAGTTAATTGGAAAGCAAACAAAAGAGTAAGTAGCTAATTATTCAGCTGGTTATCCAAGAGAAAAGAAAAACTGGGAGACAACCAAAATGAATAAATTTATGTCACGCTTGTTATACTCTTATCAAAGTAGCTGAGGAAATTCAGTATAAATTTTCACCATTATTGTTGACTGAGTGATTCTTTCTATTCTCATTATCGCACGCAGCTTGTATTTTGGAGTTTGGAAATTACAGAAATGTAAGTAATCAAGCTAAATAATAACGTTTGTTTTCCAAAGGAGAGGGTTTTTGGTTTAGAACTAATTGGAACAATAAAGTACGAGGAGGATGAACTCAGGCCAGCGGGGTGATGCGTTTTACTTTAAAGAAGTCCTCGAAATCTGTTAGTCTGCTTCGACGTTAAAACAAAGCAACGCGCTGCTGCAGGGGTTCCAGAGTAGCCATCAGCACAGTTTGTTTTATCAGTTTGTTCCCTTGAGTCAGGGTCTGTGATGCTGCTGCCTCGGCAGGTGGCTTCCGAGTAAACTGCGCTGTCATCCGCTGACTTATTGAACAAATAGAACCTGTTGCTGCTGCTGCTGCTCTTTATGTAATTCCCTCTTGGTTTTGCAGCTCCCGTGTAAAACGGAACACACAAATACTTCTTTGCCTCCACCATAATATGTTTATGGTGACATTCAATAAGAACATTAAGTTACTTAACAAGGACAAAAGCAAGCAGTAGGAAACAATTCACCTCTAATTTGGAAAGATTTATAATCTGGAGCGTACAAAACATATTTGCTGAAGCATAAACAAGGATCTGATCCACGCAGATGTATTCAGCTGCCGACTTGTACAGTTTCGGTCTTTCTCGTTGTTTTGCACAATTTCTTTTCTTCGGTGATTAACTACAGCAGCAAAGTAGGTTGCTATGGACTCCTGCTTTCTGCTCTAATTGTGAGCTTCAGGGTAGCTCCTAGTTTTGCACCTTTTTGTTTTGTTTCTTTGCTATTTAGTAACCAACAGCGCTGACAGTTGACTACAACTTTCCTTTGTTAATTCTTACCACATTAGAACGGAATGTTGTGTTGTTCAGAAAGTCGAACATAAAACCATTTGGGCTGCCCATGTCAATGAAGTTAATATTTAGATTGTGTTAGCTTCTGCTGTCCAGAACATTTACTGTTTCACTTTTAGAGATAAAGTAGCCAACCTTTTCAGGTTGCTCTGAAACTGCTTGTATCATTAGCTTGTAGCATTAGCGCAGCCAGCCTGTGTCTTCATTAGGCATTTAGTTTTTTCCTATCCATCTGCCTCAATTGGAAAGTACCTTCAAACAACGGATTTGTTTTCCTTGTCGGCTATTATTGTGACACCTCCAGTTGGTATGCCATGTTTCTTCTTCCTCCCATATCAATATGGCGTCTTATTTGTCTGTCTGTTTCAGAGATGCTTGTCTGCACCCATTTTCCTGCTTTGGAGGATTTTTGTCTTGTTGTCTGCCATGTCTGCAGTAAGGTGGTGACTCCTCAGGGCATCCTCACACATTACGGTAAGGCAAAGACGCTGAAGGCCAAACTCATACACATTGTGCTATTTTTATGTTTACTCTGCCAGCTTATGTTGTGACTACAGCTCACAGAGAGGCCAAAACACAAACACACACACACACACACATCCGCATACTTTTGAATAAACTAGAAATAACATTTATTGTCCATGTGACGGTCAACTGGAAGATTGTACAGTAAGGGAAAATGTTCAGCATAATAAAAACAAACGGTTATTGTGCAGTTATTAAAAATAGCTCCAATTCAAAGAAATGTGCTTTATGGGAAGACAAGACACTTAAGGCCATATTCATACACTACTGAGATATGCTCTACACACTCACACAGAGTGTGACAACCAGATCGATACAATACCTGGTGATTATCACTCCAAACCGGTAATTTATGTAAGCGCCCAGGCGCCACGCGTTTATGCCCTCTAATAATCAGCAGCAGGCAGACGAAAGCTGAGAAGCACTAAATAATTTACAGGTGGAGTTTTGTAAACAAGTGTTTTTGTCTAACAAATAGGTACACCCTCTAATGTGTGCCTTCTTTTATGATAGGTCTTTAATAATCACTGTGGTGCTTTCTGCTGATGTGCTTAGAAAAGTATTTCAGTGCATCAATATGTAAAAACAAATATTATGTGGATGGGGAATGTCTAAACAGGATGTTAGCGGACAGAATCCGCAAACTTCAACGTATTGTCTACCTTACATAAATATTTTAGTGATAGGGTAGGTCTTCGCCAAACAATCCTGAGATATAGGTGTTGATTGTATTGAGCTCTGGACTTTGACTAGGCCATTTCCTTGTGGCTCTGGCAGTTTTAGGGCATTATTTGCCCCAACGGTGTGAATAATTAATTTTTCAAAGTTTTAAATGGGTAGAATTTCTGAAAACCCTGTTCTTCACTACCATCAACTTAAGGATTATCCTCGTCTTTGTTTTGATTGATCATATATAATTCTGAGTGGGGAAGAGGACGGGATAGACACAGGGTCACGCTCTGTGAACACACACACAAGCAGGTTGTTTCCTCAGCATGGACAGCAAGGCAGCCGGCGTTTCACACACATCCTCACTTTCTGATTCTCAGCAGAAGGAGGTCAGCACTATTGTTGGATACACACTCACAAATAAACTCCTTGCAACCACTGTTCTCTCTGTACTCCTGTCCCCTACAGCAACCCCGGTGCTCCCATCACTCCACTCACTTTACTCTTTTTGGCAGAGCTTCTGCATGGTTGGGTGACAACAGGTCTGAAGCACATTCATGCACATCAACGCTCGCAGTTGAGCAAGGGAAACATCCAACTTTTCCTGTTAAAGTGAAGTGATTCTGGAAATTCTGTAGCAAAAAGACATTTTATCATTTCAAGCCAAATTCAAGCAATTTGATTGCTTTAGCCAGATACCTCTTGGTTTCTTAAAAACAATATTATGGCATGTAAAAATGCTCCATATGACCTCCCCTTTAAGATCCCTTTAAGAGCTCACCTAGTTTGGATAGTTTCATGATACACGATGTACTTCCTTGTATTGTGGCGCATCCTCACATGCGCCGTCGATCCCCGCTGGGGTTTGACTCTAAATGTTGTGACCCACATAGGCGTCAGATTTTGTCTTTGTGTTTATTCATCGAGGGCTTCGCTGCTGTGCTTGACCTGCACATCAGAGCAGCTCAGAGGTTTTACAGCTACACACTTAAGGGAGGGGCAGGCTGGCTGCCTCAGGGCATCCCTGCCTCCTGGCTCTGCATGCATCGTTTGCTGCTCATATCTGCTGCTTTGGAACATCGGAGGGATCTGAGGCCAGTAGATGTGTGCAGATGATGAGATTGAAGCGAGAAAATGGAGCACGGTGAAATGTTTGTTTCTAGAGTTTATTCCCTGTCCCATTATCTAAAATATCCATCTGTCTGCCAGTCACCCATCAATTATTCATCTGTTGCTCATCTATCCATATGTTGATAGTAGGCCTGTCGCGATAACAAATTTTGCTGGGCGATTAATTGTCTCAAAAAATATTGCGTTGAACAATAATATTTTTTTTAAGACCATTTTAAACTGATAATAATCCAAGTGATATCCTGCCAAAAATTGATTAGCTTTTTAAAAAAAGAACACTTAACACTGGAACTGGTTACCAAAACAACCAAAAACAAAACTAAAATTGACTCTGTCTACATTGACAAAGAATGCACTTGAATAAAAACTAAACAACATAAAATCAATGTGGAAATAAATACTGCATTCAACCAAAAGAGTGCAGATTATGAAGTCTGATTATTGCTCTTCAATAATCATTAGATTTAGTTGGAGAAGTTGGGCACATCAAATTACCTGATGCAATAGTTCACTTCCACCCTAAGCCCAGTACAATAATTGTGACGGATCATCCTGTAGTATGTCAGGACTACTGACTGGACTGATCGCGTCCAGTCGGTAGAACGTCGAGGCCGCTCCTATCTAAATCAGGAATTTGCATATTTAACATGCTATTCTGCCTTGGCCAGTTTGTCGCTACAGAGTGTGGGGTTTTCCCCTTCGGGGAGCAAGAATGCAGCCTGTCGAATGTGACCGGCAGCCAATCATAAAGCACAGATTCCCCTCTTATGAGATATGCATCCCAAACAAGAGACGGCGCAACTCAAAGTCCAGCGGACATCGGAGATGATATGTGGAAACATTATTGTTTATTCAACATTTTGTGCAAAGAATATCCACATAAATGACAAGGAGAGGAATTGATAAACCCGGTAACTTTTCAGCTGTTCATTGTTAACGTGACATAAATATGTTATAATGATATTCATTCAGTCGGGACTTTACGCTGACATTAGCCACATGCATTGCAGGTATATTCTAGTAAAATATTGATTAATGCCTGGTTTTAAAACTAGTTAACCAGACTTGTAGCCATTATTTTGTGCCCATATTGTTCTCAGTGTAATTTTAAACATTAAAAGGTAAATACTAATTAACCGATGAAGCTTTACACACAAATGGCAAAGACAAAAAAAACAGAATAACTCTTCTCCACATCACATTTCAGCAAATAAATCCATCCATCCATCCATCCATCCATCCATCCATCCATCCATCCATCCATCCATCCATCAATCATCCACTTGTTGATTCATCTGTTTGTCAATCGTTCATCCATTCATTTATCTATTGGCCATTCATCCATCCTATAAAGTTTTGGATTTCAGCTTTAAAAAACTTGGCTAAAAAGCACAGAAACCAACAGTTGTCTTCACCAGACTGGTTCATTTTTTGTGGATGTATTTATTTATTTTTCCTTAAAGTGAAGCAGGCATGCATATTCTTTGCATAAATTTGGAGGATATAATCTAAATCTGCGGCACTGGCAGTGTCAGAACCACACTCTGTCTAGAGAGCATTCAGAAAAGAAATGTGGGGAAAAAAGGTCAAAAATACTGAAACCTTAGAGCCCATTATTGCCTAATCAGGGCGTAAAAGTCAAATTTGTGCTGTAAGGAAAGAGTGGAATTTATGTTCCCTGTGTAGGAAGCTAGTAAACTACCCGGAACACGAGTTCTATATGGACATCCCTTATGGTGTGTTTGAAACCGGACTCCTTCGTGGGCCCCGATCCCCACCGGAGAAGAGAGAATTCACGGGTCAGTGCAGATTTCTGCTTTTGAAGCCATGTGATTGAATAAATCAAACCTCCATCGTATCTTTTTGATAATTCAACGCACTGCTCCTCTTCCTCTCCTCACTACCTCTTCCTCCTCCTGGTGTGTGAGTGAGTTGAACACGGGCTGAGAGGGTCGTATTGCTGCTGTTAGTTGGAGCATTTGTCCTCTTTTTTCCCCCCCTCTCTCAGTGGCTGTGGGTTTATTGAGCGTCCAGGCACATCAAATCAATTCTAGACATCTTTTCAGCTTCAGAATACCCCGAACTTAACAACTGTGATGCTTCCGAGTTTGAGTGTCTTGTCATAAAAGTTTGTTGTTCACATTGCTCGCCGTCTGAATGTTGGTGGTGAAATTTGCCTTCAACCACAGAAGCGCTGATGGGTTTCACGCGCACAACTTAACAGTTGCTGTTGTGGTTTGGAGGCATATTAGCTCTCAGTTGGGCTTGTAAAACCCAATTCTTTATTTCTATCTCACCGAAAATGTGGACTGACATTGTTATTATTTTTTTGGTTTGTGTTCTGGATTATTTTTGTCCTCGTCACCTTTTCGTTTGGAGGAAGTAACAGGAAGTATTTGTAGTTCTTCATGCTCATAACTGGTGCAGTTGTTTCTGGTTTACTTTTATTTTCAGTTAACTCAAGTCATGTTTGGGGAAGCAGTGACACATCCTGCATTCATTTGCTCTCAAAGTACCTTTTTCCCCTCATCCACAGTCCTACGGCAACCAAAGTTTGTTCATTCTTCTGTGTTTTCTCTCTTTAACATGCAAAGTACTCCAGAATGACAAAATGGTTTAGTAGTAAATAAATCAGTAAAACATTTGGGATCATTTTGAGACAGTTGACATAAATCTTTTATAAGTACGGATATTTAAATGTCCATGGTTAAGGATTTAATACATTTTTTAGACAGAAAAATAAATTAACTATTTAAAATTGTATATCAAAAGTAACAGAAATAATTTTAGACAAATCTAATTGAACTAATCCAGGATTAGAACCATCCATTGACAAGTATAATAACATTCATAAGGTGCTGCAGCATAGGATTGTGAAATATCAAACTACTGTTGTTTTTTTTTTAAGTTTACAAATTTTGGTCAAAATAACTGTGATTTGAAAGAATTTTGCAGAATATCTTAAGTAAAGGTTCTCTGGCGTCTTCTATGTTCTAAAACCAAAGATTAGAATGATACAGAGCTAATATTAAAGCTCCATGTGAAACCGACAAAAAAGTGTTAAGCATCTGCAATTATTATTAGGCTGCTTGGAAGATTGAGTAATTTATGACGCCATTGTCTTCGAGTAAAAACATTCTTGCAGAAATTTAAAAACATTGGTCTCACTCGGCGTTTGGATTTTGGTTCTGTGTGCAATTGAATTCCTATCCTGAAGCAGATTGAAACATGACACTTCCTGGAAACGTGGCAGGTTTCTTTATTTTTATCCAAATCGCCAAATGTTACTCTGCTGACTGTGGGCTATACATTTGTTTACGACATCAAGTTAAACGGTAATTTATTTGCAGCGCCTTAAAAATAACTTTCTGGTAACCGTTTTCACAAGGATGTCTCCTGTGTAAACCAGCACCGTCACTGTGTTGCTGGTTTATGCAGAAGTTTGTGTTGTTTATAAGAGAGCAGCTGCAGTTGACAAAACACTTAATAGCTGGTATTACTGGTGTTCATCACAGATGTTTGTTCTTATATTCTCGTCTTTCTGTCCTTGTTGCTTCTTTCTCAACATACTCAACATAACTCAGCCGAGCTGTGAGAGGCTACTTCCTTATCATCTACTGGCTCTGCCTGCAGGTTGAATCAGAGACCAATCAGCAGCCAGCTGGGCTGTCAGCACGACCAATGGCAGCAGGCAAGCAGGAGAGAGTAGCAGGGATAGCGCCTTTGGGGTTGAGTGGCTTGGTGGCCTGGCCAGAGGAATGTTCATTTAAGTGAAATATAGTGTCTTCCTTCATGTTTGTCCTTCATTTTGAATGTTTTGGGTTCATTAGCTTCTAACTTGTTAATGACAAGTACTTTTTTGTCATTACTTTACCTTGTATTACTTAATGGAAAAACTACTATACTATGTTTTAGCTTATTTTAACTAAGTTGTATCTTTTTGTCTTTCATACCAAGAAAAACTTTTTTAAAAATTTGTTTTTATTAGCTAAAAGTTTATAAAGTTTTATCATCTGGAGTAAAAATGCAAACATGAAACTTTAAAAGTCAACCATCAAGAGTCATTGCAACAAGTGTGTCATCGTTCATCATCTAATTTTGGAGCTTAAAATCTTAAAATCTTCAAAATCAACATATAGCATGTGACGTTTAGAGCTGTCCAAATGGCCTCTGCAGAAATGCTTCATGATTACACATTATGCTGACCAATAAAACAATTCAAAGAATGATAGTTCATTGCATCTGTGGGGGTAAAACAGGCCGATGCTTAAATCGGAGCGTCAACTGCTTTGGTGAGTTGTAAAGCAAAAGAACATGTGAATAAATGTCTGAAATTTGTACTGCATGCCAGTGAACGCAACTATGGACTTTAGCCCTGCTATTCTGAATACAGCTGCCTCCGCTGTTTGTCTGCCTCCGGCGCTTTATTTGCACACCCGTCACACAGGAAAAAAATCACAAGCACAAGAAACTCTTTGGAAAAATAAGAAGTCAAAGAGTGTTTGTAGAACTGTGATGCTTAGATTTAGATTTGGTGCGACTTACATGTGTTTTCACCAGAATCCACTCGGAATATGTACATTTTAATGTAAAATTGTGATAATGATCCGACACACGCCCTGTCCCTGTGGCCCACAGCCCACTTCCAAACATTCACTCTGAACAAACACACAGTTCAGGTTAGACTGAGTTCTGTTATGCTGCCCTGCCATTGAGTGGTTGTTCAGCTACGCTATGTGCTTCTTGCTGGGTGAATCAATAGATATTGCTGTAAAGATGCGGGAAGAGATGCTTTTATTAGTGTGAACGGAGACAGAACCAGACTTTATTGCCGGATATGTTAGTGAAAAAACTAACAATGCCGCATTTAATCAGTTTTAGTGATATTGAAAAATTAAGTAATCTAGATAATTCAACTTTACTTATATACAACGAATGTTGTTTCAAAGCATTTACCTAAAATCATTTCAATTCAATCATAGATACATTCCAATTGAAGATAGTTTCTATTTTAAAGTAGTTTGAAATGTTTCTATCTAATGAATTAATAAAAACTGAAGCGAAAACAACAACAAAAAAATTGATCTGGAAAATATAGTGGAAGGAAAAACTGCAGTTTTTGAGGATTTCACCTCAGCTGCACATAATTACAACTTTGTTCCTCAGCCTTTTGGTGGATTTTTACCCTGCTTAAACTCCAGCCACGTGGTTTGACGTTGTCCTGATTGTGAAAGTGAGTCGACACCATAATGAGCTGGTCCAACTTTAGGGATTCAACTTTGGTTGAATAAGAGAAAAGGCGATTTTGTGCCTTTCATGCACCTTTAACAGTGATACCGTGTGTGGCTAGTGCCGTATCCACTATGTGTCGCAGAAAACGGTGGTTCTTCTTCCTCTTGTTTCTCTTTATATGGATGTACTGTGTAAAGGCGACGGTTTGCCTTTACGCCTCAGTGTGTGTGTGAAAGCATGCTTCGTTCCTGAAAGCAGGGAACACTTTGTGGCTTTGCAAAAAATTGGGTTTGCATGAATATCCAGGTGTTTGTTTTTGATTGCTCATGATTGAGAACACGACTTTTTGACTGAAGTGTCAGTTCAAAATAACTTTTCTTTTTTCTGAACAGGTTTCGTAACTTTTAACCCTTTCTTGTCTGTTAGTTACTTTCCTCTTATTTAGTACGATTCAGTTTTGCCGCTTCTTGCACACTTTGATTCTTATCACCAAGCAGGAAATTCAGACTTGCAACATTTTTGTGCAAACCGATTTTCTTTTTTTTTTCTTTCTTTTTTTTCGTTATTATTTTTTATTTCGACCTAACTTGTCTATCTTCGCTGCCTAAAACACAATCTGTGTGCGAGTGAGTGCGTGTGTATGTGTTGTCTTTCTCTCCTTACGCTTATTTTCTGAGCGTTTACGACATCTTCACCCCTCTGTTTTCATTCAGGTAGCTGGGATATAGTTTCCCTGTGAGACACTCAGAGAGAGACAGTCCTGGACCACACCCCCCCACCCCCTACCCACCTTGCTCCCACAAAGAACATGCATAGCAAAAACCGTAAGTTAAGCTCCTCTCCTCTCCTCAGCCACCCCCCACCACCACCAACACCACCCCGAATCTTCCACCCACACACCCAACAGACTTGTGTGTTTGTTTTTCCCCTGCTGTGTCTCTACAGTCTTTCGCTCAAGCGTTCTGATCAGATCGGGGTCAAAACGGGTTCATTATTGTGGGCTCTAGTCTGATTTACATCAGTAAGGTGGCGCTCATCACATGAGTGTACTTCAGGTAGCGTCAGGCATGTTGCTAATTGGAGCAAAGAGCTGGAGGTTGATTTGGGAACAGTTGTTCTTGAGGAGAAGTTGAGTTTTGCTATGTGCTTTGTTACAAAACAGCCATCTGGTTAGGGAACAGGAAAGAAGTCAATATATGACTTTCAGTGTTGTATTCCACTTCTGATTGTCAACAGGCAGAGAAAAAAAGAAGTAGAATGTTCTTACTGACAAAACACTGCATGCTTTTAAAACTGTTTGTTTATAGCTCCCTTTGCAAACATGGAGACTGAAACTGTTGCCCACTCGTCTTAGCAAAACAGCTTAGGCTGCGTCAGCTTGAATACAGAGCATCAGAGAAAATCAAATCACAGTTTCTTAATTGGACTTTGAATAGTGATTGTAACGCATGACTATTCCTGTACCTTAACGACCTTGAACGCAGCACTGGCTGTATGTTTAATGTGGTTTTTGTGCTGGAAGCTGACGCTCCACCATGGTGTTGAGCCTTGTGGCCTCAAGCATTTAGATCCACCATCACCCGTCTGCTCGTCAACTTTGAATTGTTTCTCTGTCGGTGGTGAAGAAAAGCGTGCCCTACATTTACTTCCCCTGCATTGATTGTGAACTACATCTGTCACGAATGGGTTTTTTTCTTTTTGGCACTGAAAGAGGTAGAAAGGGGGAAGTGGCTGAACACAAATTCATGCCAAACTTTGAATTTTAATCATAAAACTATAATTTTTCCTCCAATTTACAAGCAAAGTTTACTCTGCTGGACTGTTTCATACGTGTCACTTCAACAGATTGAATTTATAGTTCCAGTGTGACAAAATTTGAGGACGTTCTTTTGCATGGCTCTGTATGATGACTGTGTTGTTTCTATTTACATTCCTGTTTTCTGTGTGTGGGTCAGCTAACCTTTTACTCTTCCTCGTGGTTAAGGTAACCATTACTTTGTCTTCTTCTTCTTCTTCTTGGGGTGTTTTAGAGAAGCGACACAGCTCCCCGATCCCCTCCAGGAGCCCTCTGCTTCCCATGAAGCCCAAAGCGCCTGCGGTGGCCTCCGCTGTGGCCCCCAGCCCGGGGGACTCGCTAGCTTTCAGGGTCCCCAAAGATTACCCTCACTCCCGCTTCAGCAAGGCGCCGCTTGCCGTCTACCCACCAAAAGGAGCAAGGAACAAGACATGGTTTGTGCATCTTTCCATTTTTTGAAAGTTCCTCTCAGCTTTTGCAGCTTCCGATCCAGACGTTTTTGCTGCATTTTAACGCCTTTTCCCTTCCCCTCCCACCAGTGTGTCGTTACCAGTCGTGAGCTTGGAGAAGATGCCCTGTCTGAACCGAGCAGACTCGACGTCGCACGTTCGCCTCAACTCCTCGTCCTCTTCTTCGTCCTCATCCACGCTCTCGCCGCTCAAATCTTCCTCCTCCGCCCCGCCGGCCTCCCAGCGCTCCGGCGAAAAGCTCGCCAACGGCCGCGGCAGCAGCACCGGTCCCCCCACGCCGCGCTCCATCACACCTCCCTCCTCCCTGGACAGGCGGCCGAGCCCAGCCCGATCGCCCCTGGACAGACGGGTGCCGTCGACAGCGTCTCCCTCCTCGATGGACAAGAAGCCCTCGCTCTCGCCCTCCCACAGGTCCGTCGCTCTTCCGTCGTTGCCGTCGCTTTCGCCTTTGGAGAAGAAGCAACAGAACGGAACTAAGTCCCCCGCTAGGCCGCACAAGAGAGCCTCAGGTGAGTGTGAGTCCAGAGGAATGGACTTTAAGCTGTTTTAATTACGAGTTGTGAAAGTTTTCTTCTGCGTTCTAAAGCAAGATTTCTTTTAATTCATCATTACTGTGTAAAAATAGAACAGAAGTGCAGCTGATGGTGGTTTTTTGTATATCATCTTTGATTTACTGCCGTAAAAGCTGCTTATCTAAAGAATCCCCCCACCCACCCATGGTATCTCAACATATTTATCATCTTAATATTCTACACCACCTCCTCCTTGTTTTTCTCTGACGTATTAACACTTGGCTGAGTTTTTCCTTCTTGCTCTCTGCTCCTCTCTGCTGGTTTTGCTCTTTATCATGCTGCTCTGTCTAGCCAGTGTAAATTGAGTGTTTCTCTGTGTGTGTAAGAGCACGTGAGTTTGTTTATATATCTGTGGTGCCTGTTGCCGCTGCGTAGATTTGACCTGTTGTCCGGTGCAGCAAACGCAGAAAGATTACGAGGATTATAAAGCAGGCCAGGACAAGATTACAGCCTTCTCCCAGCAACAGTTTAAGATAACCTGCCGACTGGAGGTTGTAGTTTGCCTTGCTGTTTTGTGCGGAGAAACTCCCTGTGTTGGATAGGGTTCTCTAGCAGTCAGAAAAATCATTCAGTTAAATTTGTTTTGCTTCCAAGTACGGCAAAGCCTGTCCAGAATCGAATCCACATTTTGTCCAGCGTAGTTCTCCTTTTACATTTGCAGCTACAAACTTGTTCCAGTACTCTCCGTTCAGCTGCTTCTCAAATTGGCATCACGTTTTAATCAAGTCTAGAGAAAACAAAAGCTCAGAGATTAGAAGTAATCTGCGTTCTTGTTAGCGGTCCGTGGATTTTATAAACACTGAAAGCCAAGCCAAGAATGATTCTTCTACCCTTTATGTTTAGGTCATAAGTAATGTTTTTATTTTTTCAGCATCTTACTACTGGCTGCTTTCTAATGTTAACATTGGGGGATGGATTGGCTGGAGTCTCATCTTGTAACTGTGGAGGGAGCTAAAGTTTAGGGAGATGTTAAAGAGCTCATTCAACACCAGCTTGCAGAAATGCAAATGGAAACTTGCAAAAAGCAGGTCAGCAATTATAACAAGTATCAGAAAGTTTCCACAAATCACTGACCAGGGTCTAAATCATTTTTGCCGTACATTTTTCTTAATTAGAAGGTTATAGTTAAACATTGCTTTGTTATCAAAAGAGGCAGACGTTTTGGTTGAATAAAAAGCATTTTAAATCTAAATCGTCCAGTGTTACTCGAACTTTGCATTTGAGTGCATCTGCCTCAGATTTGTGGTAAATTTTTGTGCATTTTTGAAAGTAGTCCAAAGATGAACTGAGTTTGCAATCCTGCTAATTGCTCTGGAGCCTTGAGAGATAAATTTAGTATTATAGAGTCAGAAAAGAATGAAACAACTGAATGGCATTTCCGTTGTTTTCAGAGCAAACGAATTAAACTCTGAAGTATCATGCATTTTTTTGTTGGTCAGATCTGGAAATGTTTGTCATTCTGTAAATTTATGTTCTTTGAAGCATTCTTCTAATGCTTATTGCTAAGCGAACTGAGCTTTTATAAGCAAACAGCAATAATCTTGTAATTTCTCCGTTTTGTTGGATTCAAAATCTCCAACCTGCCACATATTTTATTTCTCCTGTGTTCAGTGTTTCTTACGTTCAAGTGCTGGATTACAACAGTTGACCCAGATGAGTTTGGGTCTGTTATAGTCAGTTGTTCAAACCTATCCGCGCATTTCTAACATTCACATTGAATCTTCCTTTTATTTTGTTACTGAGCTGCCAATCAGATTAAATAGATTTTAGCTAAACAAATAAAGTGAAAACACTTCCTGTGCTTTTGCTAAAAGCTAAAGTTTACATTTCCTCTTAAAATCAGTGCTACCTCCAGACAACATTCATAAACAGCAGAGCTAGCAGGGCTGTCAGTCATTGGGGACTCCTGTCAGCCTGCCAATATTTCTTGCCAGAAGAATTTGTCACAGCATGGATCACTTGTTCATTAAATGTGTTTGATGCAGGAAACACAGGCAGCGATTCTACACAGAATCACAGCATCTGACTTCTTTAATTACATCTGAATGATTGAAACTCTTAAGGTTGACGTGAGGGAGAGCGAGATGCTTTCTTAAAGCGTCGAATTAGCTCAGGCAGTGCACCGTTGAGCATCCTCTTCCAGCTAATGACATTTGATATATTTTAGTGTAATGTGTGCGCGTGTTTGTTTTACAGGGAGAGTCTTTGATCCGGACAAGCATTGCGGCGTGCCTGACCCCGAGACTAAACGCTCCTGCACGCGCTCGCTCACCTGCAAGGTAACGCAATCCGACGGTCCAACTCTCAACCCGCTTACACATCATCTTCTAAGGAAAAATAAAAAAAAACTCTTAAGATCACCAGTCATCATATCTGTAGCTGGGATCTGTCTGCGTTTCCAGTTTCCCCATTAGTACAGGGTAGCTCTGCCGAAGCGTTCCAGGGTCCTCGCTCCTCTTGATGAGTTAATTATAGATGTGAGATGAGGCTGCATCATCGTTTAGCTGTATTACTCTAATACTGCCCTTTAATTACCTCCACCAAGCTTTACTAATCTTTTCAAACACACTGGTTATTAAGTAATTAAAGATCCATCAAGTGACTGTTTGTCATACTTTACGGAAGAGGAGGGAGGGGGGGTAGAAGATGATGGTCAAAATATTTTGTTGTTTTTTTGGGGGGGGTTTCTGGACATGTGGCATGATGTGAAACCCGTATATGAAGAGCGCTCACTTCTTTACCAGCTGTGCCAATAAGTGTCACGCATACTTAAAAAAAAAAGAAGAAAAAATTTTTGGAGGTTTCCATTAGCTTGGCGCTAACGTCCTGCTCGTAATATTATTTAACCTTTTTCTTTTTTTTTTATTTGATGTGCTTGTGAAGACAGATTTGGTCAGCACCGAATTCAAAACCGAGCACCTGCAGAGCAGCGATGGAGTCGAACACACACTCAGGCTGTCTCCGTCACGATTTCCACCATCAGGCAGATGCAATTTGCAATCACGTGCTGCATTAAATCTGCACCAGCAGCATTAGTCCTGTGCTATAGACAGACAGAGGTAGGACCGGTGGTGCTGTTCCAGTTACACCACATGCTCGTAGCTGCTTAACTCTGTCAGGACCAATTATGCAGTGATGAAGAGTTGACAGAAGCAGCATTGTTTCTATTTTATTTTATTTTTATTTTTTTGCATCAGCTGTGTTCCTAACTGCAGCCTGTGAGATGCTGAACATGATGAACAACCTTTGGCTAACCAGACCAGGTAGCCTGGAATCTTTGCCTCTTGTCTAAACATTCGGCAGCCCAATTAGTCATCCTGCATGTCCGGATGCATTTCTCAGCAGGAGCAGCCTGCTTGTGCTGTTATGCATCTTTTTTTTTTTTTCTTTTTTTTTTGAACGTATGTAAATTAATAGTTTGGCAGCTTCGTTTCTTTTTGGAAAGCTGGAGGTATTTTGGTCCAGGTGACCTCTGTTTTACAGCAAGGGCTGAATCCTGCCAGCTAACAGATCAGTTTTGCGTCATCTCGGTAATTGCGATTAAAAAAAGAAAAAAAATTAATCTGCAGACAGCCTTATTTTTAAACATAATCTCCTTACGCTGTACAGTCGAGACCACTCTAAATATGGGGCTGGTGTTGGTCTGTTTATATTAGTGAAGCAAACTGTGAGTTTAAGTTTTTTTTTTTTTCATTTAACTGTAGTAAATCTCTTCAGTTAGCAGCTCTGTTTGTGCATATTATTGTAAATCTAAAATCCCACCCTGCTGCCGTCTCACCTGGTATCGTCAGAGCAACACATCCTGGATGTCGTCCTCGACCTGGCATCAGACGAACGTGAAGACAAAGTGCTCCCGAAAGCTCTCAGTCTGTCCTCACTCTCAAATTGGTCAAAGCTGTCGCGTTCTTATTGTTCTGCAGTCGGGATAGTTGGGAGTGTGATTTATGCGCAATTTGAAGAATCCTCCCTGACTTTTAGTGTTCTTTTTTTTTTGTTAAATAAGAAATGTAAAAATCGTCCTTCTCTTAAATTAAAACACTTTACTCGAGATATTTGGAAATCCCTCTTACAAGGTCACATTAGCAATAAATTTCTGTCCATTTTGGATGGAAACGTTTTAGGGTTGTTTTTTTTATGGGACAATTATTCCTTCTGCTTTTAGAACCTTTTCAGGCTCCTGCTGTTTTACTCTGATTGTTGCAACCATGGCAACAGGTTGGTTGTGTGTGTGTGTGTGTGTGTGTGTGTGTGTGTGTGTGTGTGTGTGTGTGTGTGGTGTGTGTGTGTGTGTGTGTGTGTGTGTGTGTGTGTGTTTTCTTCTGCAATCTAGTAGCATCTGACTGGCATCGCAACAGCTCAACAGTACCATAACTATGAAGTTCAAAACGAGGGTCATCTGACTGGGACGCCGTTATGAACATATGTTAACATGTTTTGCATTTTTCCTTTGAGTGCCGGTTAATGCGACTGGCACTGTAGGCTGCCTTGCAAACACACTTCAGAAAATTCTGTTTGTTAAAACATCTAAAAGGATATATAGCTTGACTGTCCAAAATGTACAAGCATCAGAATCCACCGTGAACGACAGAAAATACATCCACGGCTAACCCTCGTCCTCGTTCTGCCACAGACTCACTCCCTGACCCAGCGCCGCGCGGTCCCCGGCCGAAGCCGGCCGTTCGACGTGCTGCTGGCCGAGCACAAGGGTCTGGCGAAGGAGCGGGAGGTTCTGAAGGAGAAGGAGAAGGAAGCGGCGCAGAGAGGGAAGGAAGCGTGCGGCCAGAGCGTCGCGCCTCAAGACACGGCGAGTCCCAGCAAGCCGCACTGCCCCGGTGACCGGCCGCTGTCCTCGCTGAAGCTGCGGCTTGCAAACGCACACATACCGAGGTAAAGCCGTCACAGGGAAAAACCGCCTGGTGCCCACCAGACTAATTGATCACCGCCACAAGGAGGTTAAGCTACAAAACGCAGCTTCTTCACAGTCGGTGTGGATTTGCAGATTGATCTTTCTTCCTCCGCTGTCTGGAGTTGAAATCTTTAGCGCTTTCTCAAAACATGTTGAATTCATTCACTTTGTGATATTCTCCTCTGTGGGCTGAGAACAGCGCTCCTAATGTAATAAACACACCCACACTGGAAGGTTTATTGGCTCCGTCTCTGCTGCTGGTTGCGATGAGCAGATCCCACCCATGTTGCGCGGATTCTCTGTCCATCCAGATCTGAACTGCAACTGAGGAAAAAGTTTCTGCATTTCCACGCTTAACCACCAGGGGGTGCCACAAAACACCAACTTCTGAATAAGGGAGACAAAAATGTGAGCGTACTCACTCGTTTTCTGTGTTTCCGATGGATTTTGTCCAGAGTCCCAGGCGGCTCCTCCTCCTTCTCCGCCTCCAGTCCTCTGCCTACAGCGCCGGCGGCTCCTGCCGCGACGCCCGTCCCGGAGCCGTCTCCTAGCGGCTGGGCGAACGCAGCGGGGGACAGCGGCCGGCTTTCCAGCGACGAGGGAGACGCGGAGACCTCCGATGACGCCGACAGGCCTTCCCTGCACTACTCCAGTCATCATCCACGGCCTTCAGGGGTAAATGTCAAGAGACTCAACGGTGCAGAAATGAAGACTTGCTGTGAAGCCATTGAGCTTCTGTTTTTGTCCTATTTTTATATTGGCATTTATTTTTAATTACAAAGAAGCAAAAGATTTCGAATTGCTTGCAGTGACGATATGTAAATTCAGCTTTTTGTCCGACATTAGTTCCGTGCGTTCCTCCCACTTGATCCCTCGCGTCGTTCTCGTATTTCTTTGCCCTTTCATCCTTGAATGTCCTTTTTTTTTTTTTTTCCCTATTTTATCTATCCCTTTCTCACTCTCTCTCTCCTCCTTCCCTCATTTCGCTCTCAACCAGCTTCTCTTGTGTCTTCCTCCAGTTCTGCGTCTTCAGCAGCCGGCTCGTGGGTCCAGGCTACTACGTGTTCGACAGGCGGTGGGACAGGATGAGGATGGCGCTGCAGAGCATGGTGGAGAAACACCTCAACGCGCAGATGTGGAGGCGAGTGTACACCAACTTTTACTGCCTCTTATTAGAACCGGAGTCAGATATTAAAATTGAGGTAATCAGGGGTGTGAAGTGAATCAGAATGTAAGTTTTGTGCGAGTTGTTCATAATTTCAAATGTCATGTTTAATTAGTTCATGGTAATTCTTCTGCACTGCAAAGGTTTTCTTCAAGATCGCCTTTTTATTTTCATATTTTTGAAGAGTTTTGTTTTGCGTTTTCCAGGAAGGTGCCGCTGGCCGCCGAGAGCCTCCCCTCCAACTCCACGTCCGTCGCCGCCTCGGTTACCGCGCACCAGACTCCTCCCCCTACCGTCCTGTCCTCCCGCTCCAACAGCCTCGCCTACACCGCCACGTTGCCACAGTCGGCGTCGGCAGCCGGACTGTTCGGCGCCAGAGACTCGCCGGGAAAGGCCCGGAACGGTTCGCACAAAGCCAGCCGCTCGCCCAGAGACCCGGACGTCCCGGCGGCGGGGTCGAAAAAGAGAAAGAACTCTTCGCACCCTCCGTCGTCATTCTCTCCGTCGCCGTTTCAGACCGTGGACGTCCACAGACGGAACGGCAGCAGCTTTCATCAGACGTTTCAAGACTTCGGGGTGGCCAAGGCTTCCCCGGCCAAAAACAAGGGACCTCGAGCGGGAAGCGGACTTCTGAGCAGCTCGGACGACTGGCTGTCCAGAGCAGAGCAAAGCCACAACACGCACAAGTGGTGAGAAAAGACACTGTTTGCGTTTTCCTGTATTCACCTCCTCTCTACTGAGGTGTAGTCCTGACAGGAGAAAACATTCAGGCCCGACTAACATCTCCCAAAACCTCTCTGGAGCAAAATCTGACGGCTGCAAAAGTTGTTTGACCAAAGAAAAAAACAACAAACAAACATGACTGAACGTGACCAATGAATAACGGTTACAACAAGGATGCGAACGTCCTGCTCACACACATGCTTGTCTCTTTTCTGAAGATGAATCAGGGTTTAATTTTTCAGGATCACAATAAATCCAGGCATGCATCCAAAAATGAAAAAAAGTTTCAGAAGAAGAAAAATAACATTTCGATATTCAGAATTCAATCTGGAAGAAGCTCTGAAGGCTTACACGTTTGTTTTTTCTTTTTTTCAGTTGAGCTGTGAATGTTTTCAAACAATTTCTTATGGTTTTCTTTTATGGAGCTGTGTTTTCCAGTGCACACTGAATTTTTGTTTTGTTTTCTGTTTTTAGTCGTGAACTTGGCACCAGCAGTCTAACCTACCCGGCCAGGGAACCGTCCTCGGGCCCCCACCAGCCCATGCCTCCGCCTACAGGACCCTTAGCTTACGGTGGAGGAGCAGAGGGGAGGAAGAGGAGGAGTCCCAGCTCCTACAAAGGGAAATCCAGCAAAGCGAGCCGACCCGGCGGACTGGAGAGCCTCTTTGGGAAGGGAAACGACGGCGCGGGGATCTTGGCGTCGGGGCCTGAGTCGCCCAGACAGGTCGGTCCTCTCTGGACTGCGACGCATCGCAGTCGACGTCGGCGCTAAGGCGAAGCTCTGAATGATAATCCTGTTTTGTCTCTGCAGACCAAGCTGAATCACTGACAGAAAGCCGTTGTGCGGACAGAACGTCGGGCAGCTCTTCAGGCCACCACCATTTGTGACCTTTGACTTCGCCACTCTTCCAACGACGGCTTCAGTGCGACACGGTGGGGAGGGCAGGGGAGCCTCCTGTCGGGAATCTCCCTTGCCTCTCTCTTTGATTGTGGTTTTTACAGAACAAGTTGACAAAACAACAAAAAACAAAACTACAACTATTGTTTGTAAAGGGAATTCGCCGACAACTCCTGCGCTGCAGAAGTTTCTGGAGAACGGCGACTTTTGTTTCCAGTCTGCTGGACAAAGAAAGACAACTGTGATTGTTTTTCCTGGACCACCTGACACAACTACTGTGGGACTTTATCTATGCCACTTCGTTGCTCCCACTGGCCTTTTCTCTCATTCTGGCTCTTTCTGTCTTTCAGTCTGAGAAGGGGAGCGACGGCAGCGAGTTCGGCTGGGTTTTAGCCAGTTCTCTCCCCTTTTCTTTGTCTCCCTGCGTACCCGGCGGCTTTGTCCGTTTCCCTCCGTTTCTGTCCCAGCATGCCTGTGTTCCAAGTGCACTTACTGTCCTGAGTTCCTTGGCTGAATCCCCCCGACCCCCACCTTCTGCGTCGGTGCCACGCAGAAGTCCTGCTCGCGCAAAACGGAGGGAAGGAAGTGTTTGTGTTACCAATGATGCCACGTCGGTGCGTTGTATTTCAAAACCGTATAAAGTTTGACTTTATTCACTTCGTTTTTTCTTCTTCTTCTTTCTGATTTTGATGGACTAGCATTCAAAATGGAATTATTACAACGGTGTTAGATTGCTTTGTCTTTTTTTTTTTTTTGCTTTTTTGTATAATAATTTATCATTCTTAAATAATGTTTGGTATCGAAGTGACCATTAAGGTTTGAGCTACAGAGACTTTTTTTTTAGTATGATAAAAAAATATATATATATGGAATTTATATGGCATTTTTGAAGAAATGTTGAAAGTATTATAGTTCATATTTGTACATATCTGTTATTATTTTTGTATTTATTAATAATTCTTCCCTTTTACTAAATAAGGCCAAGAGATATGTTTCCCCTCCTTTTTTGGTCTGTGTCTAACAGTAATAAAGAGCCTGGCCTGGTGTCTCAAAATTTTATATATATATATATATATATATATATATATATATATATATATATATATATATATATATATATATATATATATATATAATAGTTTTTGTTTGTTTCAGTTGCAAGTTGATGCCAATAAATGATGCGCACAAAGCCAGGTGTAAACGTTTGGCAACTGCTGCTTTTTATGTTTTATTTTCTTCTCGTTGCTTTACAAGTTGACAAAGATAAGTGTTCGGTTTAAGGAAAAGCTAAGTGTTTGCTTCTGTTCCATCTGTAAGCATGCTCCTCACCCTCCATACTTATTAGCATCCTCATTCAGGCCTTAAAGCAGGTTGACAGCTGACTGATTTTTGCATAAATCTCACGCTGCAAAGTGAAGATGAGAATTCAATCAGAAGGGGGGAAACGGCCTTTTGATCGTTTTAAAGTTTAGCCCGTAAGTTTCATTCAGTTTCTTTGGCTAAAAATACGACGCTACTTGTTACCAAGTTTCCATGGCTCCTGACAATATCCAAGTTCGCTGTTCAGGAGGCAGAGCAGGGCAAAACATTTTCTGTCCTACCATTACAAACATAAATAAGTGAAATCTGGCTGTAAGAAAAAGCCCCTTCTGGCCTCCAGTCAGTACGGTAGAGGGTTTATCATGCTGTGGGCCTGTTCCCAATCCAAGTGCAGAGGATTTTGAAGCCTCTCCAACCTTGTGAATGTTGTAAAAAAAAAAAAAAAAACTGAAGGACTGTCCTACTTTTTGAATAGTCTTAGATCAAAAAGTGAATTATTCGCCGTGAGAATCTGCTGTTCCACAGGAATCTCCATTTCTGTTCAGAATGTTTCCACGTTATTACCAGGACTGCCAATGTGCGTGAAGGGTGTCTGTTAATGATGCAAAGTTTCAGGTATTGTTTATGATCATGCAAACGACACAATAAGCATAAGCAGAACCACTTACTGTAGCTTTCTGAGCACAGTCCGGTTCAACATTCACTCAAACGCCACTTGTACACTTCAGGTCCTTCACTAAGTTCCTAAATATATATAAACTTTCCCCAAGTCAAATCCTATACTAGGGTAATTTCCTATTTCATCCATTGAGCTAAAAGGTACTCAGTATTTTATTCTATTTTTTTTGTGAAGCATTATTTATTTGCACACCAACAGACCCATCTACACCTTCTAGTTTTTCCCCCCTACCAAAGTTAAGTACTTTCTTTTTTTTTGAAACTTTCTTTATCTTCCAAGGCCCGTCGGTCTCGGTGCGACTATGTGGGTTGCGCTGATACGTCAAGTCAAAACTGGGTCACAAATGCTCTCGCTTACTTTGGGCGAGGTACAGCTTTCTTTCTGCGGCAGCTGAGCGGGCCACTGCAGCGGTAGCCATTCCTGTGAGTCGCTTTCCTTTTTCAAAGGTGCATCACATCCGCGTCACCTGGTGGCAAATCTCAACAGCCAAAGAAAATATTGACGCACTGAGTTTTAAATGTGTTCTGTCGGATCTTCAGCGCCGTCTTTTGTAAATGTGGAGAGAAAACTTATTTTAAAGTTAAAATACTGAAATTACTTAACTTATGGAGCAAAATGTCTGCTTTTTTTTTTTTCAGTACACCGCCCACGCATGTGGACTCCCTGATAATAGAAAAGCAACTGAAAACCTTTAGTTGAACCCTACAGCGGCTCCTGTGAAGAAGTGACCCAACTTTGTGTTTAAGCACTAATAATGAACGAATTGTACATAATGGGTTGTTTCATCGATCGGTGCGTGAGAATTGCCTGCAGCTCCCTCCGCAGTTGTTGACACCTCTCGTAAAAATGTGTGAAAAGCCATAAAATTTGCTACATTTTTCTTGCGGTAGCATAACCTGGCACTGAGAACGCAGAGAGTCCCTTTGGAGAAGACATATGGGCCCCGCAGCATGACAGCTCCTCCATCATGCTTAACAATTAGTGTGAGGTGCTTTTTGTTTGTTTTTTTACACATATCCATTACTTTGTGGAAATTTTGTTTCTGAAACGTTTTGCAATCCAGGTGACCTCTTTCATTGGGATGCATGCACACCGTGCCCGTTTCCTTTGAATGCTCTGTAAGATGAAGAAAAAAAAGCGAGAACTTGCCAGATTAAGTCGGGTAAATATCCATTTCTCCTTACAATTTGAAATATTTGTGCGAACTTCCTCCCCTTTAACACAGTAGGGGTTGTGTGGGCCTGGTTTTCTGTTTTTTTTAATATCATGCAGATGTGAATCAAATTCTGATGGCTTCAACCAGTAACCTGAAACTCTGCTTATTTTTTTTTAGAAGGATAGTGATTTAAAACTTATTGCCAAATCAATTCAAATAGTCAGAAAAGGGTTTTGCATTCACCTAAACTTGTGGTGCCAATAATTTTAGAGCGAGCAGAACCCATTCAGTGTTTTCCTCGTTTCTGTTTAGAGACTCACGGTTTCTTTGGGCTCAGCTCAAGTCTCCCATGCTTGCAAGAACAATGGCTTAATTTGCAGGTTAAGAGCTTAATTGTCGTAGCGAAGTAGCCTTTTTTTTCTTCTTGCTACCACAGAAATGGGAAGCTACCGTTTTCTCACAGCTAAAATTGAGTAAAAAGCTTACACCAAGTGTAATTTTCTTTTTCTTTTTTGCACTTTCTCAAATTGACTAACATTAAAATTGGATCTGAAAGTGTTTCTAGGATTTACAGCAACAACAAAAAAAAAGTTTAGCTTTTACCCGTTGCCCTAAATACCCCAAAAACCAGAACACTGTTGTATTCCGAGCCACCTGCGATGAATGTTGGATGTCCAGGGGGGGAAATGCCTTGTTGATTTATGAAATCTAGGTGCAGTTTTTTTTTTTTTTTGACAAACCAATGTAATAAATACTATAAAAATGTCTTATATTCAAGCTTTTATTAAAAGATTGAAAGAGGGGGTGGTGGTATTTGTAAATTGAATATGCAGCATTAAGATACCATTGAGCTGATGCTGAATGTTTTTTTTTTAATTATTATTATCATTATTATTATTGCATCGCATACTTGTCAATGCAATGATCTGTTGAATGTTTGAAAGTTTACAGTGAAAATATAAAACTGAAACTCTTCCTGCTTCCTTTCAGGACTATTTCTGATGATGTGCTGATGTTTTCTTTTTAATATGAAATCAGAATTAATTTTCTAATAGATGCTAGTGATCAAATTTGATAGATATGTAGTTTCTAATACACCCTTGCTTGTTAAAAAGGGTATATTAGCAGCTACATTAGCAATAACAATGGTTATAGAGGGAACCATTTGCATCTGCCATGGTTTAAGTAGTTAGCTGGCTAGAAGACCTAGCTCACTAGTTTTTCTAGCTAGAACAACTACTTAACTAATTCTTCCAGCTAGTTAGAAGAACTAGTAAGAAACATTAGCTAAAAAACTAGCTAACTAGTTTTTCTAGCTAGAACTACTTAACTAATTCTTCTAGCTAGCTAGAAGAACTAGTAAGAAACCTTAGCTAAAGAACTAGCAAACTATTTTTTCTAGCTAGAAGAACTAGTAAGAAACATTAGCTAAAGAACTAGCTAACTAGTTATTCTAGCTAAGAAGAACTAGCTAGCTAACTGGCTAGCGAGAAAAGGGTTTTGCATTCACCTTAACTTGTGATACCAAGTTAAGGTACCAATAATTTTACAGTGCTGAATGTGGACCACTTTCTAATAGCTAGCTAGAAGAATTAGCTAGCTAACTACTTTAACTTGCGGGTCTAAGCAGTTAGCTAGCTAGCTCTCTTTTTTTTTTATAAACATTTCTGATGTGACGCATTTTCATTTGCGACTGTTTTTAAACTGAATTGGTGAAACCTGCAGGGAAACTCATTTCGGGGGGTGGTGGGGGTCCCATTGAAACGTGGCATAAAAACCATTTACACCACACGCAAGATAAAGTCCCAATAAATTACAGGCACGTTTTGTGCAGGTAAGCCCATCCATACCTAGGCTGTTAATCTTTGTCAGCTAATGCAATTGTTTGGCATGAAATGCAGCGCCTAAGGCTTCACCGCTGGTTCTGACCACATCCTCCTCCATTAGCAGAAAAGCCGTCTTCTGAAGTTGGAAATGAGTGACTCAGAAGCTTCCCCTGCTCAGCAGGTCAAGGCCTACTTTAAAGGCAGAAGCGCTGCTGTTGTTTCTACCTGAATTAGTATATTTTATTTTTTTGCTCTTTGCTCTCACTTGACTCTTAATGCCTTCAGTCAAATCACTAATGGCCTTAAGCAAAGTGGACCACAAGCAAATGTCGTCCGCGTACATAATCGCTCCATCCTTTAAGCGAAGCTGTGAAGGCGCGCATTGCCATCTACTCCGCTTTTTACCAACACTTTCAAAGCACGCTTCATGCTTTATCTCCCCACCCTTAAAATAATTTGCTTTTGTCCAAATAAACAACCGACTTAAATATGTATTTTCACACTACTTTCCCATCGCACTAAAAACATGGACTCCCTGTTCTCACACTGCACAACACTACACCACTCAGCCACATTGTTAATGAGCCATTCAATAGACTTTACCAGAAAATAGCACATTGAACTTCCTTGGCAAAATTAAAACCAAAAGCTTTCTTGGAAAGTTTGCGTCGATCATTTCTTTATCCAGAATTCAACCATGTCTCGCATATCCCGTCGCTCCAGTCAGGGTTTTCTGCAGCCCAATCCCGTCTTTATACGCCTGGAGCTATTTCAAATTGTATTTTAACGTTTCATTTCCAGTATGTGGTAAACGTTTGTTTGTTTGTTTGTTTACAATTTCAAACCATATCAGAGGTTGAATTGGATCCTGTTTTAAATGGCAATGAATTCAAATGTTATGCTTTAACTCAAATATTCTTGTACAGGTTTTTTATTTTATTTTTTATGTTGTGCTGTGTTTTGTTGGTTTTCAGACAACATTATCAGCTTATTAAGATCCAACAGTGTTTCGCTTATACCAGCAGAAATGATGTTTCAACACGTTTTCCCACTTCATTAGAGG